GAGCTTGCCAAGCTTGGTATTATTTTGAAGAATGTACTTCTGCAGACTGTTGTCTACCATGCTCAGGTCAGACGAAACAGTGTGAGAACCTATGTCCAAGAGTGCGAAAATGCATCTTACTTAGAAAATGGTGGATAATTATGTTAATAGAAGTTAATTTTTGATGCCTAAGTCCAGGTCATTTTTTGCCAGAGAACTTCAGGATCAGTCTCAAGAAGTGCATGTATGCTCTGACAGGATTTGGGTATTATTCCTTTGGCTAGAACATGTCACTCCAAAGCTTACAAGCAGAAAAACAGAGAGCATGGCATTATTTTTTTCTGGAAAAGCAAGGGAATAATTAATAACTGAGTTCAAATAGACATCTCTAAAGTGTCATACACAGAATCCAGTAAAATTATGACTGGGTAGAGCTGCCTTTATCACGCCTGAGCAAAGAGAGCATTAGAAAAGACCTGTATTCAATTACCTCATCTCTGTCTCCTGCAAGCATGCAACTGTTTCCCTATCAAGATCCTAATTCTTGGCTATATGGAATAAAATGGCAGTAATACAGTTTAAGCATCTAAGGCTGACAAAGAGGAACATTATTTGGAAGCATGGGTCACATCATGTGAGGTCTTCAGACACGGCAAGTGTGCTGAAGATTTTAATGAAATTAATTAGTAATAAGTAATTGATTTTAATGATTTTAATAAAATGTAAAGAGTATTCAGGTGACTAATTTATCTTCTTAAACCACTTTTAGGCATTTTATCCATGCTGATTGGAGGTGCCTTTGGGAAAACCTGCAGTCAGGAACAGCGCAGTGTGAATTTGTTCTGGGCTATGTAGGGCTTTTCCCCTATTTACATGCTTCTTTTGAATTACAAGGCTTTTCAGCTGCTACTGTCACAAGGTCCTGGAAAATACATCTTCTCTTGAGATATCTATGCTACTGGTTTCCAACTCAGCCTATGCAGTAAAATAAAGGAGCCTCACCATTATCCTCTGGATACCTGGGTGTAATTTAGTAGAGTGCAGAGCTAAACCTTAGCTGGTTAAACCTTAAGCAGCTTTCTTAGCCAGGTAGGTTCTCCTTGTCAAAAAGTGCTTGCAGAAAAATTACATCTGGCAAATAATGTAGATGCCAATTGATTCTGGTAGAGTGTAAAATAAGGAAATTAATAAAATAATTGTTTCTGCTGTTTGGATTTTGTGGTTGACTGCTGCAGCTTATGACTAGTCATGTATTTGGCGGCTTTAGAAGAAAGTAAGTAAAACATCAAAAAGTTAGTGAGAAATTACTGTCAAGAAGGTTAAGAGTAACATCTGATGGCTAATATGCACACTTACCCTTAAGCAATGGGAAGGTTAGTAAGAAAAGTTTGAACTAATGGCAGGATTCAGCATAATGTGAATTGCTAATGGAAGAAGCTGCAAGGGAGAGATCCCCCAGCTCAAGGATGGAAATACCATCTCAAAAAGGGCAGAGCTGATATAGAAGAGGGGTCATTAGGGAGACTTTGATTTAGTTGCACAGGTCTTATGCTTGGTATGTTAAATAAATTGTTTGTCTTGGCAGTAAGACTGTACCCAGGACTTCCAGTAGGGAAGGCATTACAGAGTGCTAAGCATTTCATGTATGTTCCATTTTTTAAGCTCTGCAACCCAAGAAGTGTATCTTTATGTTTTCCAATCACTCGATGCAAGCCAAGATACCCAGTTAAGGCAAACTTTCTTCTTTAGTCTGGTTAATGCAAAAGTAAATTAATAAATTGGCAAAATACAAATACAGAGTAAGTATCTTCAAAGTTTGCAATACCAAAGAAATGAGTTATTCACCATTTGAATATTATCTCTACTTATTGTATGTATCCAGGTAACACACATACAGACTTTCCAGGTCCTTGGCTAAGGATCTGTTTGTCACACATTTCCAGGCTGCATTCACCAGAAAGGATCTGAGTTTAGGGATGCCACTTGTTTTTAGACTCAAATCAGTTAATACTCCAGATCTGAATGAGGCACCTATACTTTCTTGCACTGTGAGTTTCAGCTTTTGACAGGTAACATATTTTGGGCCTGACTGCACCCGATTATCAACATGCCCAGAGGATGAACAGAATTTGTTGGCTACTGCTCAGCAGGGCTACGGACATGTGTCTTAGAGACGAAGAGCTCAGAGGCTGCCCTGGTTTAATGAGCTCATTCAGCCATTCTACTCTACCTCCCTTACTTAAGATCACACAACCAGTTTTAGATCTGAAGTGGGAATCTCTTGAAAAAGAATATTTTCTGTTTTATTTAAAACCTGGATGAGTTCTCTGATCTGGTGTACAGTGCTTTGTTGGTACAGCTATGAGCACCAAGCCAGGGTATGAGAGGCCACTGATAGATAAAGATGGGAGAGAGTAAGGGAACTGCTTAAACACATATTACAATTAATGGGTTGAACCCTGAAACTACATATGAAACCTGACATGAACTGTTAACCCATCACGTGGCAACCGATCACTCTCTTCCATGGATCAGAGCAAACTGTCAAATGCTACGTGTTGCACTTATATTTCACAGAAATGTGCAACTTCCTAATCATACTTTACTAAACTACACAGCTGAGATTAACACAATAGTAGTCACATTGGCATGAGAAATGGCTTTGGAGGAAAACAAACCCCAAGCCTGTCTTTGAAGGCTACTGTCTTTGACAACCATCTTTTCCTTGGTGAATACCTTTTATTCATGCAGCACAGCTGGATGGACTAACTGTACTTTCCCAAGTGTTGAATTATGGTGTCCAGTGTCTCAGGTCCTTGGGAACTCTGTAAGAACTTGGTCAGTGAAAGGAAAGACAGAATAAATCCTTGAGTGTGAATAAATTTATGGGGGTAATTGGAACGGCAGCTACTTGCAGTGCTCAAAAGCAAGTGCCTTTCTGGAAGACTTGCTTCTTTCCCTTAGAAACATGATAAATATGTATTTCTGCATCTTACTGTTACAGCGATGCATATTCTATCCTTTTCTATGGCAAGAGGCAATTCCAGTCTCAAAATACTCACAGGGAAAATACTTGCATTATTATCTAGAGTTTATAAAGATAAAGGACTTCATATCTGTAAATACAGTGTGTGTTGGGCTTGTGTGTGTGGCAGGGGTTTTTGGTAGTGGAGGAGGGGGCGATCGTGGTTGCCCCTGTGAGAAGCTTCTTGAAGCTCCAAGTCAGACCCACCTCTGGCCAAAGCCGAGCCAATTAACAATGGTGGCTGCACCTCTGTGATAACCTATTTAAGAAGGGGAATCTGGGAGGAGGAGTTAGGAGTTAGGAGTTGTGAGGAGGGGTTGTGAGGGAGACACCTATGCAAACACCAAGGTCAGTGAAGAAAGGAGGAGGAGGGCAGGAGGTGTGCCAGGGCAGAGACTCTCCTGCCATCTCATGGTGAGAGGGCAGGCTGTGTCCCTGCAGCTCACAGAGGTCAGTGGTGGAGCAGATGCTGACCTGCAGCCCATGGACGACCCCACTCCAGAGCAGGTGGCTGTACCTGAAGAAGGCTGGGACTCTGTGGGAAACCCCCCATTGCTGTAGTCTGGTGCTGAGAGGACTGTAACATGAGGGAGGGACCCATGCTAGAGAAGCTTGGAATGGCTGCTGCCTATGGGAAACACACTGGAAAAAGTACCTGGAGGAGTCTCTTGTGAGAGGGGCTCCATGCTGGAGCAGGGAAAGAATGCGAGGAGTCCTCTCCCTGAGGAGGAAGGAGCAGTGGGACTGACCGCCTCCCCCCACCTCGCCCTGTGCTGCTGCTAGGTAGGAGGTAGAGAAATCTGGAGCAAAACTTAGTCTGGGAAGAAGGGAGGGTGAAGGGAAAGTGTTTTTATGATGTGGTAATGCTTCTCACTGTGCTACTCTGTTTAAGTGTTGGCAGTATTAGTGTTTGAATTAAATTGATGTGTTTTTTTCCCCTAATGAGTCTGTCTTTTACCCGTGAGCATAATGGGTGGACAATCCCTCCCTGTCCTTATCTTGATTCCCAAGTCTTTTGCTTTATTTTCTCCTTCCCATACCTGAGGGGGAAGGGGGAAGTGAGCATCTGACTGGTGCTCATTTGCCCTCTGGGCTCAAATCATGGACAAAGTGCTTAAACTGTGGAAATCCTTTAAGCTGAGAACAGTCAGAGAACGGGAGCATATCTGGTAAAAACTATCAGATACACTCATCTTGGTCTTATTCTTCCTCATACAGCCACGGCTGAAGACAGGTGAGACTACGTGGGCCCCTTGTGTGAAACATTATCAACCCTTAGGTTCCTGTCCACCACAGACAACATCATCTTGGTGCCAACCGAGCAAGAGCCCAAACTCTGGCAGGATCGATCTACCCAAGGACATGAAGGAAGCCTTGGGACACCCAAACACTTAATTCACATGTCCCAAGGTATTATTTAGTACCGCAGTAGTTAAACTATCCTTTTCGTTTGCTGTCCCGAGGACATGTATGATTTTACTTCTCCAGCTAGCGTTAGCTATGAACCGCCCTGAAGTTCAAAGGGTTATGTCCCTACTGCTGTACAAAAATAAGGGACACACTGGCTCCAGAGGATTTTTCAAGTAATATCCCTCAGATTAGACTGGTGAGCTGCTTTGAAATAAAAGTATTTCTCTGGAAAACAGAGAGATGCTTTCAGGTCTTTGGGAACAGCATCCAATTTTAACTTTCTGCATGTGTTTTTGAACTGGAAAAGGAGATATCTTTGCCACATTGCACGGTAAGAAAATAAATGACAATACAGGCAAGGAAGTAGCAACGGACAGTTACCCCTGCCAAAGGATGTTTATGCCGACAGAAAGCATTGTCCCACGTCTCACGGAAAACATGATTAACAGCGCCGTGCTGATCTTAATCAGATTTATTAAGACAAATGTTGAAAATCCAGCGAGTGTGTGTGTAGGGGTAACTCTGTCTCTC